AACCAAAAATCACAAAGACAGGGGAAACCAAGATCACAAAACAGAACTCAAACACATTGAAAACGTGACAGAACCTCCCCCTCCCCGAAGGCGCGTCCTCGCGTCATATAACATCCAAAGGGGTGGGAGGGTGGGCATCCTGGACTCCAGGACGGTCCAGGCGGAGCAGGCTGGTCAGGGGACCAGGGCGGAGCAGGCTGTGGGCGTGGCCACGGTGGAGCTGTCGGACCCTCGGGCGTCCAGGGCGGAGCTGTCGGACCCTCGGGCGTCCAGGTCGGAGCTGTCGGACCCTCGGGCGTCCAGGTCGGAGCTGTCGGACCCTCGGGCGTCCGTGGCGGTGAGGACCCTTCGGGCGTCCGTGGCGGTGAGGACCCTTCGGGCGGCCGTGGCGGTGAGGACCCTTCGGGCGGCCGTGGCGGTGAGGACCCTTCGGGCGGCCGTGGTGGTCTTTTTTTAGGCCTCCGTGGGTCTTTGGCCGGCCACGGCGAAGGCGTATAGCCCCCCCCAAAATTTTCTTGGGGAGAAGGACAGGCTCAGGATCGGGAACAGGCACCGGCCCAGGAACAGACACCGGCCCAGGAACAGACACCGGCCCAGGCTCAGCAGCCACTAGAACAATAACGGCCACAAACACAGAAACCGGCTCAGGAACGGGAACAGACACCGGCTCAGGAACAGGAACAGACTCCGGCTCAGGAACGGAAACAGACACCGGCTCAGGAACGGGAACAGACACCGGCTCAGGAACGGGAACAGACACCGCCTCAGGAACGGGAACAGACACCGGCTCAGGCTCAGTAGCCACTAGAACAGTAGCGGCCACAAGGACAGACACAAAAACAGAAACAAACATTGGCTCAGGAACATCAGACACTGGCTCCAGCTCAGGAACAGCAGACACCGGCTCCGGCTCAGGAACACCGGGTGGTGTTGGCGCAGTGGATAAGACACATGCCTTTGGTGTGAGAGACCCGGGTTCGAATCCACTGCGAGACACCAAAGTGTCCCTGAGCAAGACACTTAACCCCTAGTTGCTCCAGAGGCGTGCGACCTCTGACATATATAGCAATTGTAAGTCGCTTTGGATAAAAGCGTCAGCTAAATAAATAATGGGCGATGGGCTCAGGCTCTGGCGGGCAGGCGATGGGCTCAGGTGCTGGTGGGTAGGCGATGGGCTCAGGTTCTGGTGGGCTCGATCACCTCCTCTAATGTGACCGCCCCGGGTTCCCCTAAACCTAGCCAACCGAGTTCCCACGAACCGTTCACTCATCTTTGTATTTTTTACGGGTTGATCGTTCTGTCAGGTTGTGTGCAGGTTGCCGAAGACGAGGACACGAGAATAGCAGTATAGTTGATATTTACAAACTTAACTTTCTGCAACATACAGGAACAAAAGAACAAAACTCCAGGACTTCAGAAAACACAACCATTCATGGACAACGATCAACAAACACTGAGGGAGAACACAGGGCTTAAATGAACAGGGCCTAATGGGAAGATTAACTGAACACAGGTGAAGGGAATAGCTAATTAGACAGAGCGGGAAAACTAACAGGACTGAACCAAAATCACAAAAGACGGGGGAAACAAGATCTCAAAACTGAACTAATAACAGGACTAAACTGAAAATCACAAAGACAGGGGAAACCAAGATCACAAAACAGAACTCAAACACATTGAAAACGTGAGAACAACGGCTTGCAGGATTATGGAACAATGTCCTTTGAAATTAAAATAGTCCTTTGCGTTGTTTTGTGGAGCCGTTATCGGGATGTGCGATCCGTCGATGGCACCTGCACATTGAGGGGACCCCCATCTTCTCTCAAACCCTTCCCTGATGTCCAGGAGCCTCTGACCTGTGGGCAATTGAATGCATTTCTGCATGCAGGACACCAGCGCACTGCATACTTACCACACGCAGATGCATAGGAATGCAGTATCCCTTAGAATTTTTAAATCGTCCCTTAAAACATACTTTTTTAGGGTGGCTTTTATGTGATTCGTGTGCTTGCTGTGTTTGTTATTGTATCGGCCTTCTATTTTTATTGCTTGTTTGTTTTTACTGCCTAGACTGTTGTGTATCTTTCTAATTTCATTATTTTTATGTAAAGTGCTTTGAGAATGCTACTTTTAAAGGCACTATATAAAATAAAGTTTATTATTATTATTATACTGTAGAACGGCTCAGCCCAAAGAGGTGAGAGATTGTGTTATACCCACTGCCTGTAGCGAGATACCTTTCGAAAACTGGTTTGCCAGTCTTGCTCCGAAAAAGAAGCCTGTACTATATTTTCCCACCAGTGTTGACTCCGAGCTTTCATCCAGGTATCTCGCTGGTTTTTAAAGGTTAGTACTACCGACAGCGAAAATGCTGCACATAATAAGTGCTGCCTTTTGTTGCGTAAGCGTTGTAGCAAGTTTTTTTCATTTTCGTTTTGACTGCATTTGCAAACACAAATAGAGCAACATAACCGTGGCTGCCATTTCAGTTCAGCGGAAATGTATATTTGCATTTTTGCATTTGGAATTAGAAGATCTGATTCATATCCGTATAGCTGAGACGCATTCATGTGGCCAAGTGTAAATGGAACTGTTTGAACAAATCTGATAGCTATCCGAACTGAGAAAACGCATGAAGTGACCAGGTGCAAACAGCCCCTAAAAGACATAAGCTGTAACAAGTGTCAAGAGACCAACTAAAGCAAATACTGATCTCCATCATGGTGACTACAAACTTTATAATATTCAATAAAACTAAATATCTGTTAATTCTCAACAAGAACTTTTGTACATGTATGATAGAAATAATGTTAAACTGGTTTGTAAACTGTTTTCACAGTCAGTGTGGCTGGAAGTCAGTTGTAGTTCTTGTGTTTCTCTTTTTTCTGTTCTTGTTTTTCTGTCCTTCAATGATTCTGCTTATCAGGTGTTCATCGGTGTCTCAGTTCACTCACTTCTTTTCAGTCAAGTGGATTATATTAGTGAACTAATGTAGGGAATAGTGAATGAGGGTATAGGGTGTGATTTGGAACACAGCCTCTGAGTATCGACTTTGGGCGGTGCTAATTCACAGTATATTCCTGTAAGCTATTTTCTCGATAACGACAAATATAACCCAAAATGCATTCCTTTCTCCGGTATATTATTGTTTTAATGGAAAATGGTATGATACTGTCAGAATTTGGCCTTTTTTTACAGCAAGGGTTAACAGTGTAAGATCGTACCGGAGCCCGAGCCCAACAACATTATCCGTTCCAGTGGGCGTGTTGGTAGAATATCAGACCCTACTGCCAAGGCTGACGTGAGTGTGCTGAATTTGAACCCTTTTAGTGTGGTGTTTGCAAGAATAAACGCCATGCCTATTTAGTAGCCCAACTTCATGCCTGTTTTATCGCAGAGCAGCATGCCTGTTTCATCGCCCAGTACTGAGGTAGTATTGTCTGTGATGTTCCCACCCTGCCTCCCACTCAAACCTCCTCTACCCTCAACCAAGGAGGCAGTTCCTCAATTATCTGCCTGTTCCATGTTGGCCAAGGTGGCCACTTTTAAACTCTCTTTCTGCCCTGTATCGGCCAAGAAGGCTGTTTTGTAAACCCCTGCCTGTGCTACCCAGTTTTTGGCCCTGTCTTTGCTAGCTCCTTACTGCCCTTTGGCTCTGCCTGGGGCCTCCAGTTCACCAGCTATGCCCTGGAGTGTTGACCCTCTAGGTCCGCCTAGAACTCGTAACTCCAAGTCCGTAACTCCACCTTGGCCCGTTGACCAGTTGGCTCCACCTTGGTTACTCTCTCCCTCAGCTCCACCTGGGACCGTAGTCCCTACGGCTTCACCAGGCTTCCTCGTCCCTTGGTAAGTCGTTGCTCTGCTGCCGTCATGACCTTTCTGGGCATTATATGATGAACAAATTGAATTTAGGCTTTTTTGTAATCACATATAAACCTTAATCAGTGAACATAAACAGAAGCTCAACTGTACATACTTGAGAACAAACCTCATTGGTTCTTGCGGAAGCTCAAACGTGCTGTATGATAATCGAGAATTAACCTCATTGGTTCCTGCACGACAAGAATGCATGCTTGAGCTTCCGTTTACCATAACTGAGGTGTGCATTGATCAATGTTTATATGTGAATAAAAGCCTACATTAATTCTGTTCATCATATAAAGCAATCATGTCTCTTCAGACAATTTGGAATACACTGCTCGATTCAAATGGATTTATCTCTTTATGAACCTTTTTAAAAGCATCAAAGTGGTAGTTCCACGGACTGTCAATGGAGCTATACAGAAAACTCTCAGATTTCATTAAAACATCTTAATTTGTGTTCTTAAAATGAACGAAAGTCTTACGGGTTTGGAAAGACGAGATTTAGTAAATGACAGATTTTTCATTTTTGGGTGAACTAACCCTTGATTTTTTTTCATTTTATTTTTTATTAAAATTGACTTCATATTCATTTTTACGTAATTCAAAACAAATTGTTTGTGATATTTATTTTTCATATGATACATTTTTATTTGGTGATGTTATTGATGAAAAACAATCAGAATCTCAGCAATGTTACAGTAAATGTTAGGATAAATTGACAAATGTGCCCCCTTTGAAATTCCAAATGCCCTTTCTAGTAATTCATCCTGGTGTTGACTGCTGACTGCTGAGCTATTTATTAATGGAGAATTTGACAGACACCCAGGAGCAATATATAAGAATCAGAAACAGACTCCAGAAAAAAATACTTTCCCTCAATCTCTTCTCAACAACTCTCAAATAAACCTGTAGATTCTGAAATAAGAAGGATAACATTGCACACAGCATGCTGACACATTTTTCATTAATACCAATTTTTCAGTTTTCACTGTAACTATTTCTGGAAATGGTGTTTTTCTAAATTTGTTAAATTAAATAAAAGATCTAAACAAATTAGCCTATATACAAATACTTTCTGACCCAGCTTCAAAGAACTTGTAATTAGTATGATTATGGTCATATCCCCCCCTAAAAAATAAGATGCAATAACATGTTGTTCAGCGGGGGGAGGCAATGAGCTCATAGAATCGAGGCATGTTGGCAAAGCTGCTGAGTTCAGGACTGGGGTCTATGCCATCTGGACCCTGTGGACTACTGAAGCTGAACTTCTGAAGCAGAGACACGATGAACAGAAAGAGCTCCATACGAGCCAGAGACTCACCCACACAAGAGCGTTTACCTGCAGAGATAGAATGCAGAAGAGATGAACTAGTGACATGTCACAAAATCCTTTTTCTGACAGGCAGTTGTGCTAAAAAAAATGATAACTTGAAATACATTTTTTTTTTAATAAATAATTATTATCATCTATTTTTTTATATAAATATTTAGTTTTGCGTATAGAAAAGTGTTTAGCATATTGTGTATAGCGTCAGTCAGGCAGGCCACATCAGCTTCACCAGTTGATCAGTATCTGGTCTACTTAGAAATACAATGCCTCTGATATCGCTCCAATTTAAGTTACAATTTCAGTTATCCTTCAGCTGGTTTCATTGCATTGCTCAAGAAATGCTGTCTACAGTTTTGCGTGAGGCATTCGTTCGTGTGTGGATGTCTGTGACGGATTGACCGCACATTTAACATGGACTTGAGTTAAAAAATGCACACACACACACACACACACACACACACACACACACACGGAGACTGTTTAAAACGGAAACGTATTGCAAAATCTACTCTGTTTTTTCTGAATTAACGAGTTAATTATCTCAGAATTATGAGATAATTTTTCATGGAAAAAAGTTTTTGCTCTGTTTTTCTGAATTAATGACTTAATTATCTCAAAATTATGAGTAACTCATTAATTCATAAAAACAGAGTGAAAAAAAATTTTTTCAAGAAAAATGTATCTCATAATTCTGAGATAATTAACTCGTTAATTCAGAAAAACAGAGCAAAAACTTTTTTCCATGAAAAAATATCTCGTAATTCTGAGATAATTACCTCGTTAATTCAGAAAAACAGACATAAGAGTTTATTATGATTATCGATCAATCGATAATGAAATACCTGTTGTCTGTATTGTTTGTCCCATAATTTTAGAGGTCTGACGGGGAAACGGTGAAACGTTGGTTCCGCTAAGAATTGGAATCTAACACTTATTAATTGAGGATAGGTGTTTCAGGGACAACGCGGCCGATTTGCTTCTGTTATTTCCTGTTCGTTGTATTGTAAATGATATCAACTGTTGCATAAGAGAGTAGATTATCTATTTTGAACAGTGTGACAAAATGTTTCTTCTAGAATCTATATTTATGGGAAAATGTGTAAAGTGTTGTATGTGAGTTTGTCCCTCCCCACGGGGTAATGGTGCTGGCCGCCAGTATAAATGTGCTCGTCTGTTTTTAAAGAGTTAGTCTGTGTTGGTTGCTGCAGTGGAGAGTGTGGCCTGAGTGCTGCAGGTATTTTGTACGTTGTTGATTTGTCTTTTTTGGAGTTATTTTTGAGGAAGTTATTTTTGGGAAAATTTGCATTTGGCATTATTGTTTTTGAATCTAATTTGTTTTTGGATAATATTTTTCCCTTTTTTGTTTAATTTTCCATTAATGTTATATATTTGGGTTAGGATTTTTCATGATTTTGCACGTTTGAATAAATAGTAATTTATTATACTTCAAACTTTTAGTATTCACACATTTTTTTTGGTGCCCATTACTGGGTTCCTATTACAATGTCACATCTCACATCACACAATTGTTGAACAAGAATTAGCCATGTTGACTGAAGTAATTTTAAAAACAAGCAGCTTAAATTAGAGTTACTTCATATAAAGTTAAATTGCGTGAAGAAGCTCTGTGTACATCTGGAGCTATTCTATAGTGCTATAGGTCTGGGTTAAACATTATTTGACTCATGCTGGATTTTTAAGGACTGGTTATCAAAAGAACAACTTTGAATAGTGCCTTTTTTATATGAAAATTAAAAAGACATTTAACCATTTTCACAATATGTAATTTTATTTTTTAAATTAACAACTTTAAAACTTTTGTTTGATGTGAGATTGTAGACTGTCCAGAGTTTACCTGCAGAAAACGGGATAAAGGCTGGATTATTTTTAAAGTTGCCGTTGACATCCAGAAAGTGCTCTGGGTTAAATGTCCAAGGGGTTTCCCACTGTACCTCATCCCTTAGAACAGAGTGCAGCATGGGAATAATCACTGTATCCTGAAAGAATGAAAGCTTATTTAAAATACAACAATACTCAACAGCTATACAATAAAATAAACAGCTGAGTATTGTGTGGTTAATTGTTACCTTTGGAATTACATAACCTCTGAATGTGATGTCTTTCATGGCATAATGGGGAACATTTAGTGGGACAATATCCAGAAAACGTTGTACTTCATGAATCACAGCATCAGTAAAGGGGAGGGATTTCTTGTCTTCCATTGTAGGGACCCTGTTCCTTCCAATAACTCTGTCAATCTCCCTTTGCATTTGCCCTTAAGCAACACAATAAAAAACTTTTTTTGTAAAGATTCTCTTAATTGTGAAAAGTTCAATGCAATCAATGAAGAAAAAGATAAGTAATACAAAAGTAACGTATACATACAAAAAGTACACCAAGTGAGCAGGCTACCTCTCTGCAAAACAAATTTTTTTCTCTGCATTTTTATCAAGAATTATTTTGGAGGTTGTCTCACATAGGTGGACATTTGATTTAAAGCAGAGGTAGGCAGTCTGTGGGCTGAGAATTGTGGTTGGTCACTTTGTCAATATGACAGTCTTTTCCTTTCTAAGTGTCCAGTTCTTGACCACAATAAGCTGTGAAAAAGACCAGGGGCCAGTTGCAGCAACTATACGTAAGTTGTGGCATAAAGGGGCACTAAGTTATAATTTATGCACTTAACCCATTTAAGCCCACCGCCAACTAGTTGCCGCAGTGTTTAGTTGTCATTTTCATATTTTAAGAATTTTTTTAGATGTTATCCATGTTTTATTTCTCAATGACATGCAAGCAAACAACCTAATAAAGGATTTCAAGAAAAGAAAAAAAGGTATTCACGTCCTTCCTGTCACATGAGGCTGTCAACTTCCTACCCCTACTTCCAGGAAGCATGACGAAGGCAAACCCTCCCAAAGAAAGGTCATTTTCATGTTACTAATAAGTACTTTTTGTTGACATATATATCTACATAATCATGAAGGTCTCTAGAATCATCCAAACAAAACAAATCTTACAAGAGATCTATAGTTTTTTGTATACTTAGTCAAAAGTCCAAGCGTTGCCTATAGTTGCCGATGGGCAAATGCCTTGTAAGTACATATATCATGGTGAAATAGGGTATACTGTGTTTATAGGTTAATAAATCAAGGTTATTGGTCTTGTTTAGTGCATAAACATAGCTTAACCCTTTAAATGACATCTTTACTGTACAGAGATTGTCTTTATGCACTGTTATTTTTTTAATTTAGATGTAATTTTTTCCTCATTCTATTAATTTTTATTTATTTATTTCCATTTAACTTTTTGATACACAATGCTCTGTTATGGTTGCACTTTGTTCTGCACTATGTTCCACCACTTTAACCCTTGTGCGCTGTTCGTTTGCGGTTTACAGTCGGGCTGTTTGGGGTCTCCAGAGAAACTAGGCAACAATTTTTATTTTTATTTTAACAAATGTAATTTTACTCAGTTTATTATTGTTTTTACTCCACATTTGGACATTTTTACTCCACAAAATGTATAAAAAAAAATAAAATAAAATAAACAAATTAAACCCTGCTTTTTATGTAAAATTCACTTTATAAAAGACCCACATTTCTAAATTTCATTCATGGGGATCTTTTGGAAAATGCAGTTTTAAAAGTAAAAAATTATCACTTTAACCAGTAGGTTGCAGAGCTCCACTATTTGCTATTTTTACTATTTACTATAAGTTTTTCCAGTTGGATTCATATCTACATATTATGAGTTAGCAGTTTTTTTAATGAAAAAAAAAACGGTTGTGTTTTCACATTCAAGAGATTATTAGCTAGATGCAGCTTTTTTGGGTTTGCATCGAATGTTCTTCGACTTTTATACATAATACATTTGTTTATGAATAAAGATTGATCTGTTGAAAGCAGTTATTTTGAGTTAGATGCCAAATGTTCTCCTATTCAAATTTGATATTGGGGGTGCATACAACACATTAGCCCACCGGCAACTATAGTTGCCGCACGTTCAAATACGATTTTCGAGGGAAAAAAACCTAAAACCTGGGGAAAATAAATGCAGAACATGTTCACATAGGACACTATTAACACGACTATATATATAAAACCATTCAGAAAAATTTGGGCACAAATTGGTTAATATTTGTGTGTTGCAGCATTAAAATGAGCAGAAACACAACTTTGCATTCAAACTAAATATTACAGAAGCCTCTGACCAGGGGTAACAGTTAGAATAAAACTGCATTAATAAGCTCATGTTTTAAATGACAGACTTCACTCTTAGTCATATATGATGTTGACATTTACACTTTTTTACATTTTAGGAAAGAACACATTATATATCATGAATTAGGGTTATGTTAGGGTTAGTCGTCAGTTTGACAGCCTTCTCAGTGACTGTAACATTACACATGGTCTGCCATACCACACTGAAGTAAGATGGTTAAGCAGAGGTGCTGTGCTGAAGCGCTTCTTTGATCTACGTGGGGAAATCTGACATTTCATGGAGGAAAAAGGTAAACCTGTTACAGTGCCCACTATGGCTGCAGGACCTTGCATTTATGGTTGATATTACAGAGCACTTGAATAATCTGAACAAAATGTTGCAAGGACGCAAAAAAACCCCCACAGTATTATGACAGCATACGTGCATTCAAGTTAAAGCTCACGTTGGGAGACGCGGATGGCAAGCGGTGACCCTGCTCATTTTCCCTGTCTAAGAGATGTGTGTGCAGCAAGCGTTAATCCTGACGTGAGACAGTACAAAGACAAGATTTCAGGGTTGCTGAGGGAGTTTGAGAAACGATTTCAGGTCTTTAGCGAACTCCTTAAGGTACCGGTATACAGGGGGAGGGGATCAGGCCGTGAGTGCAGAGCCATCACAAAAACGGAATTCCTACATAGTGTACCTTTAATTGGGATCAGAACTCACTGAAATATTTAGGAATATATCCCAACACTGGCAGAGATCAATTTTGACCCACTCTTAACAAGTTAAAAGTGATATACACAGTCCTTGGCCTCAGTCATATAATTGATTCCGTAAAGATGAACATCCTTCGACAATATCTCTATTTATTTCAAGCACTCCCTGTAGACATTTCCTCAAAACAATGGTCTGAATTAAATAAGATAATTTCCAGATTTATTTGGCAAGGGAAAAAACCCAGGGTTTAAATTTAAAACATTACAGCTTTCAACAGAGGAAGGAGGCATAGGCGCCGATTTATGTTTTCCTCCGTGGGTGCTCATGGGCGCATGCCCTTTAAAAAAAAAGTTGTCAAAAAATGTTTGCATTTCAGAACCTTAGGAAATTAACAGCGGCCGACACGAACACACACACCTATTTACTTGATAATAAAGCCGTAAAGTAGGCTATCTTTCAACGCAGGACAGCGCTACTTCTTACAAATACAGACAGGATTGGAGATGAAAAGTTTAACTGACACGTAACCGCGATCAGCTTCGTGGGAAATTAAGAATCAATGTCACACAAGTCCACACAGTAAAAATTCGATTTGTTGACTCACCATTGCGGTTAATTCTTCAGGAGGAACGTGTCTCTGCGTACAGCAGTGTGCTTGATGAAATTATCAGCGATGATGTCCAGGTCCTGCTGTCGAGCCACTTCTTTGTGACAGTTCATTATAAATGGTAAATGGACTGCATTTATATAGCGCTTTCACAGACACAATGGCCACCAAAGCGCTTTACAATTTGCCTCACATTCACCCATTCACTCACTCATTCATACACCGACGGGCGACGGCAGCCATGCAAGGCGCCATCCAGCTCGTCGGGAGCAGCTGGGGTTAGGTGTCTTGCTCATGGACACCTCGACACTTGGTCAGGTGGAACCGAGGATTGAACCACCAACCTTCCGGTTTGTAGACAACCCACATGAACTGTTATAACATTGTTATAACATGAACACATTATAACAATGTGATTTAGTCGGGCTTGTCCCATTGTTGACCGTAGATATGTTTTCAGTCGGCGCATCCCAGAAAATGACCTCTCTGAGCAGCAAGATGTTACAGGGACAGTCAGAGCCAGTTTCAAAAGCTTTGTGACTTCTGGTAGTTACGTTCTCAAGTGCTCGCCTCCATCTCCTTTCATGAAGCCATATACATCATGAAAATTTGCAAGATGAACACCTTTCTGTTTTGCCAAGTCCAAACACATGTCTCTATGTAATTTCAGCCTGCTTCCATCCATATCATCCCCATAGACCTGAATAATGTCTTTACAGTCGGCCTTCCCGGTTACAAAATCTTCAACATCTTGCATGTGTTTGAATACAGAAGGATTAAATCTGCAGTTCAGAGATGCTGATGCTTTATCCATGACCTCAAAGTACTGCTGCCGGTACATTGCCCCTGGTGTTTGAAAACTGTGTGCCGCACCTCCACTGTCCAATCGCCGGGGGATTGTTCTTAGTCTAGGCACATTTGGGCTATCCAAGTCAAGGACATGCGCTTCTGCTGTAGTATTTTTCGAAAATTCTTGGAATCCTTCACGAAGACACTTTATGTCTTCTCTCAGTGTGTCAATCAACTGCCTAGCTTTCTGTAGGTGCAGCTGGCTGTTTTTGAAGTGCAACATTGACTGTTTCCATGCGAGAGAAGAATTTCAGCATGAGTTTCAAGGAGAAAAAGGTGCTCAATTTTAGCAGGTGCGTTAGAAGACCGTTTGCTTTCCCTCCTGCCTCTCCCCTTTCTTTTTCAGACAGGTCCTCCAGAAATTCCAGCAGCACACTGTAATCTGCGCATGCGCGGGCGGTGTTTGTTTGTGTTTAGAGCTCCGTCGCGTCGAATTGATTCATTAATCCTTGATTTTCTTCTTTACCACTCATTTATTAACAAGCACTTTCTATTTTTATATCGTGTGAACCTATCCTCGATACTATTCCCTATAAAAAAAACAATCGGATTGCTTTGATATCGCTACTTAGATCCAACTTTGCGAATCTCGGCTACTAGCCTTTAGCCCGCTAGCATTTCACGCGTGGGCTCGCGCCTATTGACCGTCTGATTTTACACCCGTTTCACTGAAAGGATACAGGTTATATCCAGCATTCCAGTCCTAAATTAGTAGTGATATTGGTAGTATCACTGTTAATTTACTGTTCATCTGTTATAATGGCGAACATATCGGATGTGTGTCTAACGTTACCTCTGAGTGCAGGTGAGGACACATTCGAGCTGATGTCGGTGCGATTGGAACTGGAATCGGTGGAGAAACAGATCCGTGGTCTGCTGGAGAGGCAAGCCGAGCTGCGGGATCGGCGATCAGCGCTTGAAACGTCACGCGCCGAT